ATAATTAATTTAATGTTAGGGCTTTAGTTTTTTAGATTCTTAGTAACGCAATTCTTTATTTGTCAACTGGAAGTGACCGTTTGTAAACTTTAACATCAGCTTGTGTGTGATTTTTCTCACAGACATACTAACTAAACAATCATCTTATAAAACAAACATGTATAAATGCCAGTTTCACACAAACAGTGTAATTCTCTATAATATAATACCTAGAATGCATGCATATATTACTATTCAATGAAACGTACACATAACTGTTAATGGCTTGATTTATGATAAGGATTTAAGCAATATTAAATATATTTTTATATTTTTCAATTTATCAGAATTGATCACTTAGTATATTCGAGTACATATTATACAGATTTTAACACTTTGTTTCAGGCAAAACGTTATTCACAAAGAAAAAGAACAAAATAAAACAATGCAAAATACCATGCGCAATAATCGTAGATTTGTGATTTCTCCTTATTTTAATAAAAATATATTCCAACAATTGACAAGGTGGCCAATCCACGTGACTTTTAGGTAAATTACGCTGCGAAAAATTATGTCAACCGTTTTAAAAATTTTAAAAATTCTCAATTTGTTTAAGTTTTTTTCGATCCGTCCCAAAACAAAAAAAAGTATAAATAAATTTTAAATTTTTAAAACTTAGTTTTGGGGGAAAAACAAAAACATTTAAACCATTATCACCAAAAGGGTGACTGTTTAAAAAGGAAAAAATTTTTAATTTCAATGGACACTGAAATATCACTAACTTTAAAACTGTGCCCACTGTTGAACTATTTTTTATAATAGTTAAAAAATGCCTCAATAGTTTTCCTTAAAATTTTTTGAAAAATAAAAACCCCTTAAAGTTTTTTTTTGGTTTAAAAAAGAGGGGTGAACGTTGTTTTTAATTTTAAATTTTAAACCCGAGCCGGTTTTCCCCGGGCTTTGTTTTTAATTTGGGAAAAAAAATGTTAGCTCCTAACCAACAAACTAGTTTTTAGACTTATGCAAACAAACGGGTATTAGAATTTTTAAATGGTCGTTTTGGTAATGACAAAAATGTTGGAAAATTTACTTGTATTACTTCAAATGGAAATTCACTTGTTGATTATGTGTGTAGTACACCGAACTTATTTGAATATATTGAATATTTTAATATCAGTGATCCTAACTTATTGTCTGACCATGCACTGATTAATTTTAATTTTGTTTTCAATGTCCCTACTTATACACCATATACTGATGGAAATGACAAAATCTATGAAAATGTTAGCAACCAAATATGCGTGGAAAAAGGAAAACACGTTATTGTATAAATCTAGATTAGCTGAAAGTAGTACATTAGAACAGTTGAATAATTTTCAATTGAATGTTGATATTGCAAATTGTAATTCAGATATCGATAAATGTATCAACCAGTTGGGATGTATTATTTGACGGAGTTGCGTCGCCTTTATTTAAATGTATTATTGGAAATAATGCAAGGGAAAATACTCGTTCAAATTTTAATAAACAAATGGTATACCATTGAATGTGATGATAAAAGAAAATTATTTTACAATGCCTTAAATATGTATAGATTAGATTAAAACTGATATAAACAGGCAAAATCTTGTTTCAAAACGTTCTGATTACAAATGTTGTATACGTAAAGCTAGATTTAATTATGATAAACAAAAATCAGATTTGTTAGTCAATGCTAGGTTGAAAAATGCTAAGTTATTACTGGAACATGTTGAAGGAAAAATCTGGAGTTAGTAATTCAAATGTACCTATGAATTGATTTTTGAACGCTATTTTAAATCTTTGTTAATAATTCCCATGAAGATAATTTTTTGTGCCCAGATGAAATTTAAATTTAAAATTTTAAAAGGAAAAGTTAAAGAAAAAAAAACGATTTTTTTTTTGATGTTTGAAAATTGAAAGTACCCTTTTTTTTTAGGGAGCTAATTAAAACAGTTTTAAAAAATTAAAATCAAATTTAAAAATGGAGGTCCCGAAAATTTTTATTTGAAAAAAGATTTTTTTTAAAAAAAAAACATGGTTTAAAAATACATTAATGCCCTTTTTTTTTTAAAAGTCCTGTTCAAATTTGAAATTTAGAAATTGGGTTATTTTTCCCGATAAGGTCCCGAAAAGGGTTTTGTTTGGGGCCCTTACCCAAGAAAGGTTTAAATTAAAAGACGTTAAAAACTATGAGGGATCACGTTTTTAAAAATTTAGGTAAATTAAATTTAAAAATTTGGGTACTCCAATTAAACGCTGTGTCCCTGGGCTGAAAAATTTTGGGTTTACAAAATTGGGAAAGGCCCCCAAACGGGGTTTTCGAAAAAAGGAATGGGGACAACAGACAATGTTTTTTTACTTTCATGGGCTTAAATTTCTGTCATTTTAAAAGTGGGAAAAAATTATTTTTGGCTTTTAAAAAGATTTAGAAAAAACTTTTGATTATGTCGTAAAAAACTGCCTTTGGGCAAAAAATTATAAAATTAAAAAATTAGTGGGAAAAAATTTTAAATTTAAAGGTTCAAAGTATTTAAAGTGTTTTAAAACTAGGGTAAAATACTTAAAACAAATTAAAGTTTATAGTTTTTTAAAGTATTTTGGTTTTGAAAACAAGGGGGAAAGTTTATTTTTCCCTTTTTTTTTTCTATGTTCTTTTAAAAGTATTGAAATTTTTGTTCGTAAATTTTTTGGAAATTTGTGTTAAAAATACCTTTTAAAATGTTCCCTTTTTATAAAATGCAGATGATAAAAATTAAAATTTTTTGATAGTGAAAAAATTTGCAACTTTGTTTTAGACTTCTAAAATGAAATTTTGTAATAGATGGAAGTTGTTAGTAAATGCCCTCAAAAATAAAATATCAAAATTTAGAAAAGGCGGGCGCCCCTTTGACCAAATTTGCCCGTTTTTAAAAATGGTGAAAAAAAAAAAAATTGAGAATCGGTTTTAAACGTTTTGATAATTAGGTATGTATTTACGAAAAATTTGGGTTTTTTTGTTAAAAGCCCCAAAAACTTTTTGCGGCCCCGGGTTAAAAAAAGGGAATATTTAAAAAGAACAAAAAAAAAAATTTTTTATAAATTTTAATGATGTTAAATTTTAAAAAAATAGATTAAATTTTTTGAAAAAAGTTAAATCCTTAAACCCATTTTTAATTAAAAATTTTTCTGAGGTTTTGGGGATTTCACCCCGGGGGCTCCATTGAAAAGGGGTTTCCCACAAATTTTTTTTAAAGTTTATTTGGGTGTTTAAAAAAATAAAACCCCCAAAAAGATTTTTGTTTATGGAAAAAAATTTAAAGGTCAAAAGTCGTTAAAAAAAAACAAAAAACCTTTAAAAAAAATTATTAAAAAAAAATTTTGGGTAAAAAAAATTTTTTTAAATTAAAGTTTAGATCAAAAATTGTTTAAAAAAAGTTTTAAAAATAAAGTTTAATAATGATGTTCTTTAAATTTCCAATGGAGAAAATGGTGTTTGTTAGTTTAAAAAAACTTACTTTTTGAAATTTGGGTTTTTATAGACCTGGATATTTCAAAAAAGTTGGTTTATGGTTTATCTGTTTTTTGTTAAATGTCAAACAAAGAATAAAAGAAAAGACCAGTTTTGTTTTCAAAATGGAATGAATAGACTAAACAATTGCCATTAGAGCAAATCTTTTTTGGGAACATTACCCAATTTTTGCTTTTTCAAAGTTACTTAAATATTTTAAAAATTTTAGAAAAGTTTTCGTAATATCTTTGTCAACGATTAGTATGTTTATCACACCAGATTATATGTTGAAAAAAGGTAGTGGCACCAGCCAAGGGCTATTCCCCTTATGATGACGCAAATGTTCTTGAATGTAATGTTTTTAGAGGACGAGTTTCACTTTGTTTCAATGTAATAGATATATTAAACCTAAGAAAGCAGTTTATATCGTCATCTTTATTGGAGACAACCCAAATATGATAAAAATTTATTTGCTCTAATGAACTCTGACTAATGAACTATTATAAAACGTCTTGCATGTTTATATTAAAAAGCTTTTAATGTGTAGGAAACAACACTATTTTTCATTCAACGTTATTAAAGGTAAATTAAGATGCAGTAAACTTTGTCAACTGTGCAACTTAAGTAATTGTAAAATGAAATTAGTAAATATATCTTTTATTTTAGTGTATACACGATATTGCTAAGCAACTTATTTGTTTTACCATATGTTCAATCTTGTTGCCTTCGTTTTTTCGGACAAGGCTGACAAATATGGTCTTCTCAGATAATATATTATCTTATCATTCAGCGAATCATTGTTACCAGAAATACTTAAATCGTAATATGCTTAATTTCGGTAAACTGCATATATCACTTAGTTATCTATGTATTTTGGACAGTTTATATTCATATCTGTCACCAGTTTTTCATTTCTATATGTTTGTAATTATGTAAAATGTTATATATGCAAAACTCTATACCTTTTGCTAAATAAGTTTTGTTAACTGTTACGTACACTGAAACGGAAATATGTTCCCGTTAATATTATTTATGCAGGTCTTATATGCTAGTATGTAAATTGGCCATATTTTTGTAAAATTTGTACCGTGTGGCATATTTTTGCCACTTTGGGTCGCCGTTTGACCTTCTTTTGGTTTTGATATGAATAAAAAAATTTGAACTTGAAACTTTATATTCTTTATTCAGAAGGGGACAACATTTGGTATGTCCGCCATTTTACAATCTAAATTTTAAACATTTTGTAAAGCCCTTAACTTTCCACCAAATAAATATTATCACAATAACTGTATTCAACAAAAAAACTTATCACTTTTAAGTAACAATATGATCTCCTCTTTTTTATATATAACAAAAGGTATTTGATAAGATATAAAAAATTGGGTTCCCTAGACAAAATGAAATAAGTGTAATTAAGATTATAATAAAGACCGTTTAAGCAGCAAAACACGGTTTAAAAATTTATTTTGGTATCATCTTTAATTTCAAACGTTTTCCTTTTTTAAATATAAATTTACTCTGCCTCACAAGCATCCGATAGATAAGGTAAACCAACTATACCGACAGCCGCCGGTACAAGTGCAGGTATTACACCAAGTAAGCCAGTTACTGCTAAACCAGCAGCGACAACTCCACCTAAAAGCCCAAAGGTTGAAAATTTATCATCCAATTTGTTTTGATGTTCTGAAAATAAAAATGCATATCGACTATAAAGATAGCTATGAAATTTATATGTAGTTAAGACATTTGTAAATGTAACCAGTTCGCTATATGTAGCTCTACTTGAAGCTAAAATGCACAGCTTTACCCTATTTTATAACTTTTTTTGAAACTTCCTTTTATGAATTTAAAAATGTTATATGATAAATAGTAAGTAATTGGAGTAAAAACAACTTGGCTCTCACAACAAATGACAAGCTTTAGGTTTTTGATGATTTGTCATCAAAATACACATATTTACAGACATATACCATTTGTTAAAACAGACTTGTTCGCGATACTTTGATAATCAAAAGCATACCAACTTTTTAGAAACAATATAAAAAATTCTTTAATTAAATAAAAAAACAATTTAATGTATTTTTAAAGATTTTTCTTTCCTTATTTTGTCACTTTGAAAAACAAAATTTAATAATTTTGTATATATGTTTTGTAAATTTATATAAAATAGAAACTTAACAATTACTTTGTTGGATGCTTAGCAGAAGTAAATGATATTATGTTTATCACAGTTTTAGTTCATTTTTGCAGTCAAAGTAAAAATAATTTTATTTAGAAAAGATGTATGGGGCACAAATCCAAGGATCATAAAAATTATTCAATATGTAAAGCCTTTGTTTATATGACAGTTTTTTTATGACATTACAAAAAAAACTACATTTTGTTAAGAAAAATGCCATTTGTAATGGTACTTATAATTTGTGAAATAACAAGCAGAAGATATTCATTCAGTTCAGAATCTAGTTTTTTTTTATATAAATGATTCACACCTATACATGTCGGCATATTATCGGTCCACTTTCGTTGAACGTGACATCCACTTGGAATGTATCCAGAATCACATGTTAGGATACAACGCTTACCTCCCTTGAAATCAACATTCCAGTGACCATGGTCCATTCCATTTCTGTTATCTGTGTTTTGTATAAACATATGTTTATGAAATTAGGGGAATACTATAAATTAAATTAGTAATGCATCAAGCATTTTATACTGCTCATTAAGTATACAAAATATTCGAATTAAAACAGATCGTCCGATAAAAATATACCGGGAATTCCAGCAACTTAAAAAAGCTTTCGTAGATCCTGTAATATCTCGCGAATTTTAAAATCAGTCTAACCAATTAACTCATTGAAGTGTACGCCAAAGAGAGCAGTGTTATATACGCATAACACCCAAAATATAAATCGTGTTCATCCCATTTTAAAATATCATGTTTCACAACTTAAACTGAATACAAAAGTATTAACAAATAACGCTCCTACCAGTTTTTAAAATGAAAATTAAAACTCCCATAGGAGGCGGCACATTGATAATAACGTTTTATTGAACATAAACCAAAAGTTTCTGAAAACGTAATTTATATGTAATTTCTTTATTATACCTTTGACACATTCGTCACTGTCGTGGCCATGTTTTGTACAAAAGACAGGTATCTCTCCTCTCGCGCATTTCTTTTTATTATCTTCATAAAGAAAAGATAAAACAATTATTTGAAGTAACATATTTTCTATTGAATTAAAGAAAATATTATTTTCTGTTGTTTTATTTTACTTTTTTTTTTCTAAATTCATTGCCAAGATTTACAAAGGAAGAGGCTAAAATACCACTATTATAATTAATTGGGTAAACTATTCTTACAATTTTAACTTTCATAATTCATTTTTTAAGGAAGTAGGTGGCCAAGACGTAGCTTTAAATCCAGAACTGTACATGATTTTAAGTTTTTCTCATTAGAATGTTAACAATGATGTTACGTTCTCCTAGTTCAGTAATGAATAAATATATGGTCTGATTTTTTACACCATCGTTGGTTTGTAAGTATTTTTAGGACGATTTTAACAATGTTTTTTCGTCTTTCAGTTTTCCCGTAGGCAAGTTAGTTTTATAGAAAATTCACTGATCGCTATCATATTTGAAAATTCAAGTATATAATTTGAAATCCAATCTAGGGAATTAAATACACAATTGAAAAAAAAGTTATGCACACCCCGGAAATTTAAAATTGGTTGTGATTGGAAGCACTGTCATGAGATGACGACTTAATTGAGCTAAGAAATAGTGAGCGATACAAATTTAGTAATCATAAACCAGTAAATTTATGAGTTTAGTTTATTCTTGACATAAGCAAATGTATTGCTTTTTTTAACAAAAATGTAAGTGTTTATCAGTATGGTGTTGGAGCGTTTACAAAACATTTACTGGTGGATAGTTTGGTAAATGTTGATGATAACGTAAACTAAAATGAAATGTAGCCAAATATTTGATAACGTGTGTAACCGCCACGTGTCCGGATGATAGCCCCAACCCTTCAATAATTTGGTCAAATTACTATTTCGTAGCTTAATTAAGTCGTCATTTCATGACAGTGCTTTCAATCACAATCAATTTTAAATTTCCCGGGGTGTGCTTTACTTATTTCCAGGTGTATATTAGAAGTAGAAATCATAAAATTCGGTTTGAAATGGACGTTTAGCGTTACAATAATGGCGCATGTAGTCACTCTGAATAGAATAAAGCTATATTGTTCTTTAAGTGATATGAATCAAAACGTCTTCAGATTTAGGATATGATGTACTTTATCTAGAATTAATTAACAAATATTTCATTCTAAATAATTGATTCAATAATAATAATAATAATAATAATAATAATAATAATAATAATAATAATAATAATAATAATAATAAAAGAAATAATAATTATAATAAAAATAATGATGATGACAATAATAATAATAATAATAATAATTATAATAATTATAGTAATTATAATAATATAAACAACAACACAAATGAAATCAAGAATGTAATAATAGCAATTTTACCTGCGGTGTCCACTACGGTGATAAGCAAAAACGAAACGATACAAACTAGCTCAAATAAATACATGTTAATACAAAATGCACTTTCTGTTTTTACTTCAACTTTCCAAAGCTAACTTTCTATTCCCTGTTGTATAAAGCACATAATATCTACAACAAAATTACTGCTTATCAATATTACATATGGATTAATAGCGGTTAACAACGAAGTGGGTCATGTTTCACATCAAAGCCACTGAATTTGTATGGTTCAATAGTCCTCTTTGGATTTTTTTACATTGAGAAATTTAACATTATTGAAATTGAGCTGCTTAGTGTATGTAAATAACAAAAAGTATTTTTGCGTTATAAGTAAGACATCTCTGAAAAAAATACTGTTAAAACAGTTATAATAAATGATGTAATGATCTGAAAATGTTCAACTAACTTTAACTGTAAAAAGAAGCAAAAAAATGATAATCCAACAACAACAACAAAAAACAACTACTCCTTTTTCCTTAAACTGCACTGTTGGTTTTGATTTTTGAGAAATTACCTTCCTATTATTCTACGATCAAAATGTTGTTATCTACCAGTTTCATGATGTGTATTTCAACACAAAACAATTTATACAGCCCGTGATATGACGGATCATTCCTAGAATATTCTCCATCAGCTTTTACGTTTATCCTTAAATGTCAATATTTGTATAATATTAAATCAAAAAGGAAGTACTGAGTTGTAAATAATATATGAATTAAATCATGCGTAGTCTTTCATCCTCAGAAATTATATATGAAGTTGGCACAATGCATCAACTTATTTTATTATTAATCTGTTTCTTAAAAAGAACCCGTGTTAACAAAGAAACAATCAGGATCGGGGGCTAAAAGATTTTGATTCTGTTTTTTATTTCCTTTAATCAGATAAGTATAAAATTATATGATACTTATGATTTGCATAGAAACAATAATTTGTGAAATAACAAGCAGAAGATATTCATTCAGTTCAGAATCTAGTTTTTTTTTATATAAATGATTCACACCTATACATGTCGGCATATTATCGGTCCACTTTCGTTGAACGTGACATCCACTTGGAATGTATCCAGAACCACATGTTAGGATACAACGCTTACCTCCCTTGAAGTCAACATTCCAGTGACCATGGTCCATTCCATTTCTGTTATCTGTGTTTTGTATAAACATATGTTTATGAAATTAGGGGAATACTATAAATTAAATTAGTAATGCATCAAGCATTTATACTGCTCATTAAGTATACAAAATATTCGAATTAAAACAGATCGTCCGATAAAAATATACCGGGAATTCCAGCAACTTAGAAAAAGCTTTCGTAGATCCTGTAATATCTCGCGAATTTTAAAATCAGTCTAACCAATTAACTCATTGAAGTGTACGCCAAAGAGAGCAGTGTTATATACGCATAACACCCAAAATATAAATCGTGTTCATCCCATTTTAAAATATCATGTTTCACAACTTAAACTGAATACAAAAGTATTAACAAATAACGCTCCTACCAGTTTTTAAAATGAAAATTAAAACTCCCATAGGAGGCGGCACATTGATAATAACGTTTTATTGAACATAAACCAAAAGTTTCTGAAAACGTAATTTATATGTAATTTCTTTATTATACCTTTGACACATTCGTCACTGTCGTGGCCATGTTTTGTACAAAAGACAGGTATCTCTCCTCTCGCGCATTTCTTTTTATTATCTTCATAAAGAAAAGATAAAACAATTATTTGAAGTAACATATTTTCTATTGAATTAAAGAAAATATTATTTTCTGTTGTTTTATTTTACTTTTTTTTTCTAAATTCATTGCCAAGATTTACAAAGGAAGAGGCTAAAATACCACTATTATAATTAATTGGGTAAACTATTCTTACAATTTTAACTTTCATAATTCATTTTTTAAGGAAGTAGGTGGCCAAGACGTAGCTTTAAATCCAGAACTGTACATGATTTTTAAGTTTTTCTCATTAGAATGTTAACAATGTTGTTACGTTCTCCTAGTTAAGTAATGAATAAATATATGGTCTGATTTTTACACCATCGTTAGTTTGTTAGTATTTTTAGGACGATTTTAACAATGTTTTTCGTCTTTCAGTTTTCCCCGTAGGCAAGTTAGTTTTATAGAAAATTCACTGATCGCTATCATATTTGAAATTCAAGTATATAATTTGAAATCCAATCTAGGGAATTAAATACACAATTGAAAAAAAAGTTATGCACACCCCGGAAATTTAAAATTGGTTGTGATTCGAAGCACTGTCATGAGATGACGACTTAATTGAGCTAAGAAATAGTGAGCGATACAAATTTAGTAATCATAAACCAGTAAATTTATGAGTTTAGTTTATTCTTGACATAAGCAAATGTATTGCTTTTTTAAACAAAAATGTAAGTGTTTATCAGTATGGTGTTGGAGCGTTTACAAAACATTTACTGGTGGATAGTTTGGTAAATGTTGATGATAACGTAAACTAAAATGAAATGTAGCCAAATATTTGATAACGTGTGTAACCGCCACGTGTCCGGATGATAGCCCCAACCCTTCAATAATTTGGTCAAATTACTATTTCGTAGCTTAATTAAGTCGTCATTTCATGACAGTGCTTTCAATCACAATCAATTTTAAATTTCCCGGGTGTGCTTTACTTATTTCCAGGTGTATATTAGAAGTAGAAATCATAAATTCGGTTTGAAATGGACGTTTAGCGTTACAATAATGGCGCATGTAGTCACTCTGAATAGAATAAAGCTATATTGTTCTTTAAGTGATATGAATCAAAACGTCTTCAGATTTAGGATATGATGTACTTTATCTAGAATTAATTAACAAATATTTCATTTTAAATAATTGATTCAATAATAATAATAATAATAATAATAATAATAATAATAATAATAATAATAATAAAAGAAATAATAATTATAATAAAATAATGATGATGATGATGATGACAATAATAATAATAATAATAATAATAATAATAATAATAATTATAATAATTATAGTAATTATAATAATATAAACAACAACACAAATGAAATCAAGAATGTAATAATAGCAATTTTACCTGCGGTGTCCACTACGGTGATAAGCAAAAACGAAACGATACAAACTAGCTCAAATAAATACATGTTAATACAAAATGCACTTTCTGTTTTTACTTCAACTTTCCAAAGCTAACTTTCTATTCCCTGTTGTATAAAGCACATAATATCTACAACAAAATTACTGCTTATCAATATTACATATGGATTAATAGCGGTTAACAACGAAGTGGGTCATGTTTCACATCAAAGCCACTGAATTTGTATGGTTCAATAGTCCTCTTTGGATTTTTTTACATTGAGAAATTTAACATTATTGAAATTGAGCTGCTTAGTGTATGTAAATAACAAAAAGTATTTTTGCGTTATAAGTAAGACATCTCTGAAAAAAATACTGTTAAAACAGTTATAATAAATGATGTAATGATCTGAAAATGTTCAACTAACTTTAACTGTAAAAAGAAGCAAAAAAATGATAATCCAACAACAACAACAAAAAACAACTACTCCTTTTTCCTTAAACTGCACTGTTGGTTTTGATTTTTGAGAAATTACCTTCCTATTATTCTACGATCAAATGTTGTTATCTACCAGTTTCATGATGTGTATTTCAACACAAAACAATTTATACAGCCCGTGATATGACGGATCATTCCTAGAATATTCTCCATCAGCTTTTACGTTTATCCTTAAATGTCAATATTTGTATAATATTAAATCAAAAAGGAAGTACTGAGTTGTAAATAATATATGAATTATATCATGCGTAGTCTTTCATCCTCAGAAATTATATATGAAGTTGGCACAATGCATCAACTTATTTTATTATTAATCTGTTTCTTAAAAAGAACCCGTGTTAACAAAGAAACAATCAGGATCGGGGGCTAAAAGATTTTGATTCTGTTTTTTATTTCCTTTAATCAGATAAGTATAAAATTATATGATACTTATGATTTGCATAGAAACAAACCTTTTATTGGATTTAATGAATAACAATTCAAAATACAGGAATAGTGGGATCAAAATAAGGATCAATTTCAAGACAATTATAATTTTTTGATCAACTGTTACACGATAAACCTGCTATTTCAAGTCCGATTTTATTAAGTTAATGGATAATTTGAATTATTATGTACACGAGGCCTGTTTTCTGTTTAAAAAAATTACAAAATGAAATCTTTCTCCCTTTCAGTAAAAAGATAAAATTGTTATTTCTTGCTCCAAGGCACGAACCATTGTTACAGTTTACCCCAGCAGTTGCATATATATTTTAATACGATGCGGAACACCGTCTTTGTGTAACAACAACACTTTTCAATATTGGCCTTAATAAAATATTAACTGGAAATAAATCCTCCGCATAAAAGTCCCCGTATATGCCTATACGGTTTACAGTTTATTTAAATAAATGTCCTCTTCTGTATGTGGTGAAATTGATACCAAAATTTATGATGGCATGATGAAATTTAAGTCATACCGACAATGTAAAGTCCGACGGATATTTATAGAATTTTTCGTGAGTCACATGGGTTATTGATTATACATGAAAGTAAAATATAAAAACCAAATGTGAATTTTTTTTCTTTTATCTGTACACTTACCAATTACTCTTGGATGGGCATAATGTCAATTCAAAAATTGTATGATATGTAGACCTTTATGTTAACCGGGGCATTTGAAGCAATTGTAAATATGTTTGTTTTCTTTGTGTTTGTTTTCTTTACTGAATAACTTGTGAATGGGCGAAGACTTTCATCGATCAGACGGCACGATTTCTTCTTTTTTAGAACATAGCAATGTCATAATTGACTGCAACAGTAGGGGCAGCTCAATAAAATGCGCTACCAAATATTCTACATATACCTTAAAAACAGATCATCAGACGTGCAGTCTGCAGGCTTCTCGAATCTTCAAACTTCACCACAAGTAAGAAACTGGGTGCTGGTTTTAAAATTCAATATTTGGTTTATACAGAATTTATTTTAGTTCGATGGTGTAGGAAGCTATTAGCTTATAAACACACTTTCGAATCCGTTCCTGGAACCAACCAGTACTGAGCAATGAGTGTAAAGTTTTTTGCTCAAAGAAACAACGACTTGCCCCTGTCAGGGTTTGAACCCATGCGGCTAGCGATCATTAGATTACTAGTCCGACGCGTTAACCACTCGGCCATGCCTCCACCGGCATTTGGTACTAAATGAAAAAAAATGAAACTGAAATAAAGCAAATGGGACATTAAGAATGGAAAAATATAAAATATAGATAATACGATAAGTATTCCATTGACTATAGGCATCAATCAATAGAAATTTTTGATAAAAAAATCCACGTTTTCTGGTGTGAACATTTCGGTGAAGATTGTGTTTCATTTCATAATCAATTTATATTTAGTTAGTTTCATTATCTACGAAATAGTTTGTTAGGCCCAACAAATTAGATCATTTTGATGATAAAGAAATCATTATGAGTATGTATGAAAGTTCTGAAAGTTCAAAAGTTTATCCAAAGAGTTTTTTCAAAAGTTATGATTTAATGTCTTCACATTTTTAGCATGATTGCACTGATTTATAGTTACATGTATAAATAAATCCCGTCTTAGTGTTGTATCATATGACAAACAAACAAAGTCGTAAATTGAACCTAACACGATATATGTACTAATAGATATCATAAAATAATCCGGAACAAGTATTTCGGTTAACTCTGTAGAATTTGCAATATAATTCAGACTAAGAGAATTATAATCACCACGTCTATTGTGATACGTCACTTATATTCTATTTTGTTTTACAAACTTTCATATGAGTATACCAGGACGTCATTTAGTTGTTTTAAGTTATTTTAATGTCAGCAGAGGTAATGAGTTTTTATGCAAAATTTAATACTAGTAATTAAGGTAATAAAATATTAATATACATGCACATTATTTAAATCAAGCAGTTAAAATTCCAGAATGGTACTTATTATAAGCTCAAGGACAATCATTTCAAATATTATCTTTGATAAGTTTTTAAGATAAAGGAATTTCCAAAAGCATTCTTTTCTGTTGACATGTTTGAAAGTGAATAAAAAGGTTCGGTACCTAAGAATGAATTTGGTTACCTTGATATTTGTAGGGTCCATTAAAACAAATAAGATCTATTAGCAAACCTTCAAAGTATCTGGTGTCTGTCAATGTTTCGTTGGATATTGATTTATATACTAAAATGTCTTTAATTTGGTAATAATTGGTTTCATTATATACAAAAAAGGAAAGGTTCGAGAGAAAAGAATTATTAAATTACCTTATGAAGGAAACTTGATTCATATGTATGACAGTTCAAAAGTTTATCTGTAGAGTCAGGGTTCTCACCTGTAGTAATTAAATGTCCGTGAAAACACCATTTATTCTTGACCAATATTAAATTGGACATTTGTTATAAATCACGCCTGTTTGTGCTTTATTCTATAATACACAAATTTGTACGGTTTGTAGTTTGCCATGTAATGATACTCCAAAAATACTAATGAATGTATGTATACTTTAACAACTATAATCTTACACCAAGTAATTAAGCATTTTCCTGTAATATATATGTTCCTGTTTTTCATTTGGTGGTCCCTATTGGCTCCTTGAAGGTGTTGTTATGTTTCTTGGTTTTGCCGGAGGATATGTTCATTTGATGCCGCCCTTCCTCGCTTTCATATTTTAAATCCTGAGTATGATAACTGAAGATATGAAATTAAAAATGCCAAAACTGTATTGTCTTTTATATCAGATATTTATATTCTTCAAAGCAGCAAGCATTCCTTCACAAAACAAACATTTCTCTAGTAAACTCATGGTGCTCATATAGGACTAGAATAGCAGACATTGCTTGTCTACATTTGTCATGTTTTGTCTTTCATAGTTGACATGTTTTTATTGTTAATTCGTCGTATTAAATATCCAAAAGCTTTAATTTTCATTTTATTTTTCATTCATTCTCATATACCATATTGTTCATATTCTAAACATATACTAACCGCCACTTTGGGCCTTTTATCTTTTATTTACCTTTTGTCCAGGTCCCACGTATCTGAACTAGCAGCGGCCATCAACCTTTCTATAATTCTTTTACTTCCATACACATGGAATCAACTGCAATTTTGACAAGTTAAGTTAAGACCTCAACAGACGATAGGATTTTGAAGTACAACACCAATTAAAACTAAGATGTACAGACAAATCTTAATGTGTGAAGGCTACTATCTTGATTTCGGAAACCTTATGTCTAGATGTAAGGGATAGGACATGTTCTATTTTGAAAATCTTGTCGTACCGATTTTTACAGACCTCCCACAATGACAAGTAACAGATAACCAAATTATCTCCTGATAATGGGTATAATGAATGAAATTCCAGAACAATTAGGGCTAACAGGTAAACATAGTAGTAAGATGGGGTAAAAATGATGTTGAAAAACTTTTCAGGAGACCCAAAGTTGTCTTATGTTCGAATCCCAAATTATTCCGAAAATGATTATGTCACGGTATTGAATTGTTCTCTAATTAGGGGAGGGGAGGTAGTTTGTAGGCGGCCAGATAGCTTAGTCAGCAGAGCCGCAGTACGGTATTCCGAGGGTCCCAGGTTTGAGTCTCGGTCAGGCGTCACGTTAAAAAAAATATATATATAGATATTTTTTAAATGGATGTGTTTCAATCATTACTCATGGCGAAAAAAGTATTTAGTGAGTAAATTATTTAAAGGATCAATGTAAAGGGGTCCTTTTTAGGGGAAACCTCAGATGATTCTTACAGTGTAGAATTACCGTCTGAATGCAAGTGTTGTATTGCTTTGAAAATTGTACATCTTATCTCTAATTAATGCTGTACAACTAAATCCTACCGTCTGTTGAGGCCTTTAGACATCATGTGGTCGTTGAATTTAGTTTTATTGTATATTTAATAATCTTAATAATATTTGAACGGTGTAAATAGATGTTATCCGGAACTCGACAAATGTGCGTTTTTCCTAGTACAAACAAACTGTTTTTACCGTTATAGCTTCACGGTGCACAACCCGTCACAATGATAAGTCAATCTGTGGCGTTTATTTGTTTATTTTCGAAGCTGTAACAGTAAAAGTTTGTTTGTACCTACGAATTAGCTAAGAAAACTCGACATTTTTTATGGGCTGCTTCAATTTGCACTGAACAGTCATTATGTTTATACAAATTA